TCTCTCTCTCTCTCTCTCTCTCTCTCTCTCTCAATAGTAATAATAACTACTACTTATAATACAATATAAAACTATAACGAGCATGACCACTTTCATTACATTAATAGCATTTGACATCAAATTTATTTCATTTTAAAAGTTGTAAAAATTTGTAATATAATTGATCACCAAATCATTGATAGACTGTTTATTTAGTCAGTAAAACATGTTTACCATAAGAGTTGGTGTGAGAGAAGATTGCGGAGCCATTGAGACTATGATCCGAGAGCTGGCCGTATACGAAAAGATGCCGGAAGAACCCAGATTAGACCGACAGGTGCTCGAGAGGGACGGCTTTGACCGGTCGGGCGACCCGTTGTTCCGCACGTTTGTGGCCGAGAGGACCGCCGATGACGGCAGCCGAGAGCCGATTGGTTACGCTCTCTATTACAGTAAATACAACACATGGGAGGGCAGGACTCTGTGGATGGAAGATCTGTATGTGAAGTCCGAGTACAGGGGGTCTGGTGTGGGGTTCGCTTTGATGCAAGCGGTGACCAAACAGACTGTGGACGAGGGATGCGCTCGACTCGAGTGGAATTGTTTGGATTGGAATCAGAAGTTTTACAAGAAGTTGGGAGCTATTAATTCAACCGAAACGGACGGCTGGCAGTGTTATCGTCTCACTGCCCACCAGTGCTCACAACTGGCCAACGCTTCCCATAAGTCGCAAAAGTAAATGTCATATAAAACTATTATAAAAAGTAATATTAAATTAATAAATTTATTAACGAATTTTATGCATTTATAATTAATATTGATGTTTATTATACTGTAATATGATATTATACAATAGATATCTAAAGATATCTTAACAATGTTAATTACCATGGTAAATTAGTAATATAATGTATGTTAAATAAATACGATTTAACTGTTTTTGGTATATACAGTAATTATACTATGTTTTTCGTATAACTTAATGTTTAAATTGAGTTGTTAAATTTTATTTATAAATTCATGGTAAATTATCTGCACATTTTATAAAATGTACTTTTTATCACAATGTTTTTAATTGATCATTTAATCTGAAGTGAGATTTTACAAGTAATAAATAATCCATTTGTTTAATTTGAAATTTACATTGCATTTAATGTTTTCTAATAATATAATCTTATTATAACATTTATCTTTAATATGAATATAATATGTGATAGGAATAGACTTCAGGAATATTGAAAAATTGGCGATAAAAAGTGCAAATGATGTTCAAGAATCTATGTTAGAAAATTGTTATCGTTTAAAATTTATAAATCTAGTGCACATTTATCAAATGTTGATCATTTTGAAATTTCAATGCCATTAATTGGGCATTTAGGTATTGTACAATATGTGACAATTTTAATCATATTTGTCACAGTATATGCATATGTGCTATATTTAATCTGTGTACACTATTTTTATCATACCATAATTATACTTATCACACAAGTTATAATTTATAACTATACTGTATTTTAAAACTATATAAATATAAATGAATACAAATGTTGTAATTGATTGCATAGAGAATCGCACAGGAATTGCATTAATTCAATATCAATGTCAACAAAAGCGATGTTCACTATAAGAGAGGGCCGGAAAGAGGACTGTCGGCAATTGTTGGACATGATTGTAGAGTTGGGCCACTACTTTAAGACAGTCACCGGTGCCGACAATAAACAGACGGTCTCTCCGGTGGTTAGTATCGGACAGTTGGAAGAGAACGGGTTTTGTGCCGACGAATCGCGGCGAATGTTCAGCACATTTGTGGCCGAATCGGTGGCCGATCCGAACCAACTCGTGGGCTATACTATGTATTACCCGAAGTTCTCGACGTGGACGGGGAGGGGTGTGTGGATGGAGAGCCTGTATGTGAAGCAGGAGTTTAGAGGGACGGGTGCCGGCGCCGCACTTATGGCCGCTGTGGCTAAGAAAGCGCTGACTGACGGCTGTGAGCGCTTTGAGTGGGACTCGTATGAGTGTAATCACGGATCGATGGCTTTTTACAAAAAGTTGGGATCCATTGATACGACTCATGATTACCAGATCGTTGTCTTCCGACTCAACGAACCGGAGATGAAACAATTGGCCGCCAGAGCTGACCCAACCTAAACACTTGAAGTCAACGCTAATATGGGTTACTATTGTCTATTGTTATCCCATTATTACCTGTATATAGATATAAATTACAGAGTTGTTGAAAATGATTTAAATTTACAAATGGGTATTACGGTATCAAGGTCTAATTTAATAAAATGTTTTATATAACTGTTTATATAAATGTTTGTGCCAAATATATTGCATTTTTATTTTTGTGATTTTCATGTCACTAATTGTATTTATTTTAATTATAAAAACTATATCAATAATATTGAATATCATAATTTTTTATGGCAAATATACTGTATGTATAAGAATAACATAAAAACAATTACATTATTCTGTATATAATACTGCACTTGAGATACATTACAGGGATATTGAAGAATAATCGATAATAAATAAAAATACTCAAGAATTTAGGCATTTATTATGGTTGTTATTTTGTTTTATAAAGAAATTGTATAATGTTATAACATAATCGTATAATTAACACATCCTAATTTAGTTTGTGAAACGAGCAGCTAGTGTAAATATTACACATATTTATAAAGTGTTTAATCATACTAAAATTTCAATGCCACCAATTCTCACATGTTGTGAATACTTGTATTATATTTAGCAAATATTAAATTTGTGTTAAGTATTTAATTTATATTATATATACCAATTCTTCCAGGTCAGTTTATTATATTTAAAACTATATACACATATTTATTATATTTTAAAAATTATAATATTTAAATATAAATGTATTTTTGTTGCTAATAGAGAATCGCATAGGAATTGAATTGCAAAATATAGTCAACAAAAGCGATGTTCACTATAAGGGAGGGCCGGAAAGAGGACTGTCGGCAATTGGTGGACATGTTTGCGGAGTTGGGCGCACACCAGAAGTCGGCCGCCGATCCCGACACCAAATGGACTGACGATCCGATAGTTAGTGTCCAACAGTTAGAAGAGGACGGCTTCTGTGCCGAAGAATCGCAGCGACAGTTCCGCATATTTGTGGCCCAATCGGTGGCCGATCCGCAGACACTCGTTGGTTACGTATTGTATTACCCGAAGTACTCGACGTGGACGGGAAGGGGTGTGTGGATGGAAAGCCTGTATGTAAAGAGGGAGTGCAGGGGAACGGGTGCCGGAGTGGCACTCATGGCCGCAGTGGCCAACAGAGGGCTGATCGACGGCTGTCAACGCTTTGAGTGGGACTGCTTTGAGTGCAATCACGGATCAGTCGCTTTCTACAAGAAGTTGGGACCAATTGATATCACACATGACGATCAGACTGTTGTCTTCAGACTCAACGCGCCTGAGATGAGACAATTGGCCGCCAGAGCTAACCGATCATAAGCCAGTGGTTCCCGAAGTGGTCATGACTTATATGGGTTACTATTGTCTGAATATTGTCTTCCAGTATATATTAAAAGTTAATTATTTTAATAGCGATTATAACTAAACATGTAATTAACGTTATCATTATCTCTATCATAGTTCGTGTAGTTTATATGTTTATTATATAAATAATTATAAGTTTTAATCGTGTTCAAAATAGTAGTTCTAGTACATTTAACGTAATTAAATGATAATTAAATGTGTACCATGGTTAATTTAATTAAATTGTAACAATTATTTTAAAATAATTTAAATCTATTGAATTTCTGGGGATATATTTGTCATGAAATCAAGGGTTTAAATGCCATTAACATAAATACTGTGTCAATGAATATGGAGTAAAATGTGTGCCTATTATAAGCGCACACTCTATGCGTTATAGTATAGAAAAAGGTACTAAAAACTCGGCCCACAGTTAACGTTAAGTTTAGCCGTAATTTATGTATTTTTTACTAAATATATGACAACAAGAAATCATATGTTTTGTTGTGTTCTAAACAAAACTGCATTAAAACTAATTGAAAACCAATGAGTGATATCGCTGTGACCGCCGAAGAAGGCAACTGATCCGCACGCCATTCACCGCTTGGAACCGATGGCCACCGCGAGAGTGGAGGCGAGGGATGTTTTTGACGAGTTGGTGGCCGAGAATCGCCGCCTCGTCGGCCAGTTATCGTTGGCTCACAAGTTGTGCCAATTGTTGGATCAGTTCAGAGATAATCTCAACGATTTCTGCCACCGCTGCCAATGCGACGACTGTCTGGAGCCGAAGTCGCGCTGCCATCAGCTCCAGAGTCATTACCACGAGTTGTGCGACGAGTTTCGGACGGTTTTGCGAAGCGATGGCCAATTGTCTGCCGCCGAAGACCGTAAGTCAGCTGTGGATCCGATTCGTGTTTTTGTGGACGAAGTGTTGGCCGCGAGTCCGGACGAAACGCTTGTTTATCCGGTGGTGAAGAGTGAACGCGTGGATCAAGTGATGGATGTATTGGACGTGTCGTTCGCTGAGGGCAGCGATGATTACAACATTAATGTCACCGAAATAGGTCTCGCGTTTGACGCTTGCAT